TTGTCTTCACGTTTGCTTCTCATAAATCTTCGTCTGAAATCTTCGTCTGATCCTCGTCCGATCCTCGTCCGAAATCGTCAAATGCATTGACACTCGCAAGCTATTTGTCAACAAAAACACTTATCCGAGCCCCCTTCCTGCCACAAATAGTCAAACTCTTCTCACGAAGAGAGAACACAGCCAAAAGGAAATGTGAGACCAGGTCTGCATAAAGAAAATGAAGAGAGCAGTCATGCGAAGCAGGCGAGGAAGTCATTCATGTCTGAGCCAGTATTCGTGTTTGCAAAAAGTGAGTGTCAGCACGTGCCCTCTCCTTTATATACGTGAGGCAGCCGGCTCTGTCGTGCTTTCGCACGCTTTGCTGAAGGGTTTCGGGACGCCGATGAGTCATTATGCATTGTCATTGCTAGAATAAAGATACTGCAAGAACGTCCTGATGTTAAGGAGCAATAGTGAATTCTGAAATTGAATACGGAACTTCTCTTTCTAGAAATTGTAACTTCCGTTATGGAAAGCAAAGTGTCTCCGACTCCCCTCTCTAATGCCACTTGACACGACTCTAGGACCATCTAACGCATCGAGGTAAAGGATTCGGCAAGATATAAATTGAGTTACGGTACTTCGCCTTTTTTCTACTCGCGGCGGTAGAATGAAGCATGAGAATATACGAGTTCCTGGCCATGGCCGTAGAAACAAGAGACTTTCAGGATGCATCCGGCCAGTAAGTTATAAACTTACATCCCGATTCTTGCAAGACACTTGATACCAGGACTTCCAGCTTGCTAGCAGCAAGGACGAGATTGTTGTCAATTTACTCTTTGCTGTCAGGAAACATCGGATGAAATCAGAGATCGAGAAGCGGACTTGAGAGTAAGGTTTACCTTGAGTGAAGGGACGAAAATCGTTTACAGGGACTTGTGTGGGCGTGATACGATTAAATGCTTACGATATCCCGCAATCGACCTCAGCTCCGGGCAATCCTGCTCTTAAAATTGTAATGGTGGTCAATTTTCTCGCTTGAGTGAGGCATATAGAGCTTTCATCTCGAAGTAAAAGCCACTCCTCGTTTCCTCTCCTCTATTTTTAAGCGAGCCAATTTACACCATGCAAACAGCTTACTCACGATCAAATATTCAGCCACATTATGCAAATGTAATCAATTGACAATGGCACAATTTCTTATGAAATTATTCTTTATTCATATCCCTAAAAACACCGAGGGCAAGTGGCTGGCAAACCACCGCGCCACTGCCTGATAGGAGCTGAGTTTATGCACAGATCGAATCCCAACCCTTCATTTCACGTCTTCTCGTCTCCACGCATGCTACGATCCCCAAATCTCGACTCAATTGTAATCATTTACTCAAAAGGGTTGGTGTGAGTGCCCCACCACGTCAAGAAGAGCGACAAGCCAACTGTCTCAAAGACTGGACGATTGTTAGTAGCTGTGTGGCTAGATTGGAGGTTTCCCGGACTTACCACGTGCCAGAGCACCAACTGCAACAGTATCAAGAGGACGCTTCTCGGTGAAGATTTGAGCAATGAACTAGTGGGAAATCAGCAATCAACTTCCACATCGAAACAAAGGCAACATTGAGCTATCCGGAATTCCGGTCTGCCTGTATTGCTCAATGCTTAGATATCAAAGGATGGAGACTTACCGAAGGAGCAGAGCTGGCCATGAAGATCAAAGATCCAAGGTATGCAGCGCCCTTGTAGGAGAGAGTACCAGTAGCATTGATCAGAGCACCAACACCATATGATTGAATAGCGGATCCGACCAAGGAAGTTCCCCAGGCAGCGGCGGCAGAGGCAGCCTCCTTTGACTTAACGAACTCCTCCTTTGAATTGGCAGCCTGGGCACGGTGGTAGGTGTCACCGAAGACGGGGCCGAGGACAGCGAGGGAGGCGGCGTGGTTGAAGATGGTGCCGAGGGCAATGGCGGAGGGCTTGACGGGTGGGAGGTCTGAGAGGGCGGGTTAGCAAAGTAAGTCGAAACGCAATTCACTTCAATGGATTGCGATTGTGACGGTTAAGGCAGAGCTTGAAGCTCTCAAGATTGCTCGATAGCCAATGTCGGTACAAACGAGCTCCCCATCAGCTCACAATGTCGTCACCGCTTCCTGTCCCCTAATAAACGCTGAAAGATACTTACAGTGGAGAGACATAATTGCGTATGTGTGCGGTTGTTGGAAAAGGTTGATGGGAGGTTCTTCGAGGACTTGGATTGATGCCACGTTGACTGTGTTTGATGAAGAATTGTAAGGAAGGAGAGGTGCAGCTCAACATATATGGGAGGAGGAAGCAGCCGCTCGCTTCGTAGCTTGAGCTGTAGCCGGCCTGGGACCGTGGGACGTGAGGGGGCACGTCATTCTCAAGAGCAAATTTCAAGGCAGTGCAGGGATGTATAGCCAGGTCCAGGCTGGTCTATGCGATTCATGCCATTCTCCTACAGTATTATTCTCGATCTGACCAGGAGGCGGCACATGGACCTTGGCTCCGATAGTCCTGTGCTCCGCTGGGCTGGGGACAGCGAAAATCCTATGACGTATTTGTTTACATGTCTGGATTTCTCAGTTACTTCAGTCTGATTATCTTCACTACCTAGGTCTCTTCGCCGCGCTCTTTGAGTGCAAAGCTCTGCCGGGATTGGACTGGCAATTGTGGCAGATGTCACAAGGTGCACAAGTCACTTCCATTCCGTTCGCAGAGCTGCTGTGGAGAAGTGTGGAGGCATTACGTCACGGAATCGAGGGGATAAAATGGCTGTGGCTGAAACTTGAGTGGCGTCGCTGTCACATGACTGCCACCAATCACGTGTTTTCCCTTTTCACTGCTTTCTTTCTCGACTTAGCTCACTGCATACCGTAGAGACTTTCGATGATGATATGTAAATTTATTCTACTTCTGCAAGGCGCATGGTTTCTGATGCCGATTTCTGAATCAGCCACGTGCATAATCTTGGTTGAAGCATCTCTCACTCCTTCCACATCCCAACGATTTTCAGCGACATCGACAATCCTGACTAAACCATTATCAACAGCATGATAAAAATATAGCTGAAGGGCTCCGATGGCCAGAGAAACGCACCAAGAACGAGCCCAAATACCGAGAAAGCAGCTGCAGAAAACCTTTTGCAGCATCACTGCGCTCATGTACGTTATTTCGACCCCTTTGCTTCCAAATCCAGAGCTCACAATACATTGCAGACCATTACTCTTTGTCATTACCATCATCGTGCCCTTCTTCATCATGATGGGAGAATCCTCGAACCCCAAATCTACCTATCTGAAATATAGCACGGTCACGGGATATTTTGAGCAAGATGACCCAAACACGGAGCCTCGCGGCTACGATTTCGTACATTACATCGCACATCGATCCGGGAACAACAGCTAACATTGTTCAGGCCAGCCATAACTTTGGTTTGATAGAACGAGCGTATGACACCGATGACTTGTTCGATCCGCATCACGAGAAGACCCAGTGGCAGCGGTTTCACTTTCATCTCAATGAGATGAATACCCATGCTCCTCCTGGCGTTCAATTTAAAGTCCTTTATCGTTGGTCGCGGCTGTCCATCACTCCCGAGTCTATTCTGACTGCTATTAGTTGGACGCCATGGCCAGGGTTATCATAACGTCGCAGAAGCCTTATACGGCACCAAAGCTTGGGATGTACGTCTGCCTTCCCCATCTCAGCCTGCATCTTCTAACCTCCAAAAGTGTTATTGGGCTGCCAAAGATGGTGATGGCAACATGACCTGGTTCGACGCCCTCCTCACCCCAGCGGGCATCGCCCAAGCCTCCCACGCCAACGCCTTTTGGCGTTCCCTCACCGCCGACCAAAAGATTCCTCTCCCACAATCCTACTACAGCAGCCCTCTCCTCCGCTGCCTTGCTACCGCACATATCACCTTCTCCGGTTTGCCCCACTCTGAATCCTCCCCATTTGTCCCAACAATCAAAGAAATGCTACGCGAGGTTATGGGAGTCCATACCTGTGATCGCCGGAGTACGAAGTCTGTGATCGCGAAAGCGTATCCCGGCTGGCTCTTTGAAGAGGGCTTTGCGGAGGATGATCTGTTGTGGGTTCCGGATTTGAGGGAGACGAATGCGGCGATGCTTGTTAGGGCTAGGAAGGCGATGGATGATATCTTTAGTGATGATCCGAATACGCATATTAGTATCTCCAGTCATTCGGGGATGATTGCTTCGCTTCTGGAATGTAAGTCTCTTATTTCCATCCCATTTTCCTGCAAGAAGATATTGGAACGGTGCTGATTTTCAAAGTCCTCGGACACCGAGAATTTGGATTAGGGACTGGACAGGTTATTCCGGTGCTGGTGAAGGCGGAGAGAGTTCTTGGAAAATTACCTGCAAGTGGAGAGACACCGTGGGAGAAGGTAGATCTTTGCTCTGAGCCTCCGGATATGCTCCCTAACTGAAAATGAGACATGAAGCGTAAGAGGGTCGCACAATCATAGATCTTCAAGTGAAAATATCCATTTTTAGACCATTGAAAGTAGCGTTCGTTTTTGATCGAGGCCGTCACGTTCTACCGCGAGCTTCATGACTTTGAACTTCTATTTTTACATGCTGAACGTCTGCTGCAGAACTTTATAGGAGAGAACCTGTAAATCTGCCAAATATCGATTTGTTGAATCTCATGATCTGGCAACTTCCTGGACTTGACTTGGATATACAAAGTTGGAAAGCAATCCACATGTCAACTCTAGTCTTCCGTTCTTCCAGGTGGATAAAGTCAAGTCATGCTTGCATGAACATTATTATCTGGCAAAATATGGCAGTGATGACCTCGCACTTGCTTTTATATCAGACTTTGCACGACTGCAAGTTCGCAACTGCCTTTACAGACCCCTGCATAAGCCCTATGTGGGTCGCCATTGGCTAAGACCAGTCCACCCACAAAAAACCAAAATTTTCTCTTGTCTTCATAACCGGAAATAAGACGAACCAATCATCAATTCAAGCAAAAAAGCGTTTGTGGTTTAGTGGTAAAATCCATCGTTGCCATTCAAGGAGATTTCCTATCTCTTGAACAGTCTCGATGGGCCCCGGGTTCGATTCCCGGCGAACGCAAAAGAGTTTATTTTTTTTTGGCCCTTTCAGGGGGAGAGAGAAGCGAAGGGCTAATCTCGCTTGAGGTTTCTTTTGCATTTTTTGACTTGGGTGGGGTGTCAGATGGAGGAGATTTTCTTTTTGATTTATTTGACAACTTCATGCTCTCAGTTATCAAGGTGGTCCATGGACTCGAGGCTGATGACTTCGATTCTTGGTAAACAACATGATAGATATTAGGCCGGGGGGGGAGGGCTGCTAGTCCGACCCCATTTGATGAGTGAAGTAATTCATCAAGAAATGGTGGTCTCGTTCCCAAATGTGCATCTTTCTACGTTCAGTACTTTATGTTTCAATGAAGCTGACGCCAATCTCAAGCTTGACAACAACAACTTCTGCCCAAGTCATTGAGGCTCAGAAATTGTATTGCGGCCACCTGCGGATTTGATCTTTCTCGCTCACGTCATTTGGGAAAGTCTTGTTGCTTCAATGAGCTACTTGGTTCATCGAAGGCAAAGGAGCCTCATTGAGAGGAGAACCAGACCTTGGCGGTATCGTCGTCAACGATAGTACTTGAAAAGGCCAAAGGTGAAGGTGGCAGCGGCGGAGCAAGCTTGCTGCTAAGAGAGGGGGTGGCTAACGAGACTCCCCAAGCTCCTGCAAAAATCCCTACGTTTTCCACCGAAGATTTCACAGTGCTCAAAAGTAAGCTTTCATAAGTACAGAACCGCTGCTCCCAGTCCACAAAGTCTCGAAGAGACTTAAATTCCGCTTTTTAGGCTTGCTGTTACTAGGCTCTTGCTTTTTTTATATTTTTACCCCTAATCAAGTCTCCTGCTTTGGCGATACATAAGCAATCCTCACAAGCAAGCATGTAACTGTTGTGCACCAGTCGAAATTAGACAAGGCGTTGGGTATAAAACCCAGCCACGCCGCCTATTACACTCAGCTCGTGGATATACTTCTCGATATTCTAGAAGAACTCAAAGAGGTTGGCGGACGCTGGTCAAGGATTGATTTGGACGTGGTTGCGAAGAACTCCTGTTCTATATTGTATTTTGGCCTTTTGGGTTGGGCTTTCCAAGGCCAAACGGGTTCGATCACTGATCTTGATTCGATGAAAATCATTCTGTCAACAAATATTTCCGCGCCATATACAAGATCAATACTTCAGACCGAAAGAGAGATGGGACAGCTGTGGACAGGGAGAGATTAGGGTTTCCAAATGGCATTATTATGGTCTTTGAAAGAGAAGGACAAGGAATTGGTCGCAGGTATTTCAAATTCCATTGGAGGGATCTTCCTAGTTGGTATTTGCTCGCTTTGTTTGGAGTTCGCTTAATTTATGTTTGATTTGAGCTTCGATGTTGTTATTTTAGGTGGTAGTTGCCTTTGCTCTTGCGTACTCGAACCTTCCCACAATCAAAGTTGCTTGGTTCAAGGGACTGGTAGTCAAAATGACCAGAGCCGTACCAACAGAGCCATGGCTTCTTTTCATGGGCGACTTCTGTTCTTGGATCAAGTAAAGTCACCCTATTCTCTATTATGATAATACAATAAACATTTGTAGTTCTATTATTCGCAAAGATCTAGCTTTCAAATCTGGCTTTTGCCGATGCTGACCCCGAATCTCAGGTCGAATGAAGATATTTGCCATAAATTCGAAATGCGAGGATGAAGTTTATTCACTTCCACCAAGTATACCAATGCCAGACAATTAACATTGCTGTCCGAAATCTTGCTGCCTGCCGAGCCGGGAAAAGATGAGTTGACGAGCGGTGGCAACAAGTGAATCCGTCTTGTTGGGTCTCGCGTATAAGTGAATTGCATCAAAATAAGCGATTTTGCTTCACCACGCGTTTGAGTGTTGTATATTAAAATAAACGAGTTTTCTGTGGTGGGGCGTGCTGAATATGGGTGGTTTTGGTGGTTTGCAGAGCGCAACTGTACGTGGTCACGTGCTGGCATCACGTGAGCGTATCGAGCGGGCATATCCGTCGAGCTGCCGCCAGGTGCGCCCTTCTTACTATTGGTGTTCAGTATTAGTAAGCAAGGAACACCAAAATCTGTAACTGAAGCTCACTAT